CCGGCCAAAACAGTAGCCCTGGAGCCAGGCTGACGTCACCGGTGACCGTGGGTGATAAGGTTTGCGTTACCTGTGGGAGCCGTGTCCCACGGGGAGGGGGAAGGAAGGAAGCGCTCTCCCCGGCAAGATTATTTTCCCCTCTAAGATTAGAAATGCTTTGGCATCAATTGCATAATACGTGAGGAGGAAAACTTGAGCCGTGCGGCTCCGCTTTTCCCCCTCCAAATTCTTGTCGAATTCAGTGACGTGCTTCCAACGGGGTTTATTTGGGAGCCGAAGCGCGTGCGGTTGGGAGCTGGCTGACCTACGCTGTGGTTTGTGTTGCCAGCTGGAGCTGCCTTTGTTCCTCCTCTCATTGCCAAAGCCACGTTCAGCTTCAGTTCTCCGCTTGATTGCTGTAATTAAATTCCAGCCAAATATGCATTAATGTGTTCGTTCTGGAAAATAAAGCATTTAGTTATTTTAAGGTTAAAATGGGCTTCGGAAATAGCTAAGCTCTGCAGACCTTGCTCGTGCCCTGGTGACGCAGGATGCTGCTCCTTGGGGTTCTGGAAGGAAATTAAGCTGCTTTTGATCAGTCTGTGTTGTCAGTCGCTTTTACTCCCTCTAATTTTTTTTTTTTTTTTTAAAACCTCGTGGCATAGGCTTACCTAATTAGGGAGTTAATTCTTAAATATTTGAGATGTTTCCTAAAAATTGGAATTTGGTGAAAAAGTAGACCAGGATTCACATGTGTCCTTTGGTAGCATATGACTTTTTTTTGCCAGCTGCTCTCTGTGCCGAAGCGTGTTAGGTTTGCCTGTAGCGTTGGACTGCACTAGCCTGGGTAACTGTGCTGGGCTGAGGATGAACTCGTACAAAGTGCCACAAGTTGGTCTCACGGCTCACCACCCCAAAGCAGCCAGGCTTCTTCTCTCCTTCCCTCCTCTGTTTGCCAGGGGTCAGCTCCCGCAGTTGTTCAAACCCTGCCATGGGCTGGTTGGACTTGCTGACCCAGCAGCAAACTACTACTTTTTTTTTTTTTTTTTTCCCCTCTCCCTCTTGAATGAAGGAGATCCAGCACAAGACAGGAAGGGAAAATTTACCCAGTTGTAAGAGTGAAAGTGAAGAGAAAGGCTTCCCCTTCTCAGGATCAAATACATTGCTCAACCCACCCAGCAGTGCAGCACCAGGAGCAGCTCTCGTATTCAGCATAGCTCTGGGCAGCCCTCCTGCCTGATCTGGGCTGGGAGCCACAGGCTGGTTGCCTCCTGCCTCTTCTCAGCAGGCTTTCCGCTGTGAGCTTTACAGCTTCCTCCACTTCCATCCCAGCAACTGCACGGTATCAGTATGCAGGAGTAAATTTGATTGAAGCGCCGACTATTTCGTGGGCTGTTAGCCTCTAATAGTCTCTTCAGTAAAATTCGTACAGGCTGTAATTGAGATGTTAGTCTAAGGCTGATGGTGGGGATCTTGGCAGTTGCTCTGGCTTACTTTCAATTCTGACTCCTGAATTCCACTGGAGGAGACGAGCCAAGTGGCATCAGATACCAGTCCCTCGTATTAAGTTGAACAAGTTTATTTGGTGATGCTACATGTTGGGCATGCAGGTAGCTCTTGAGGAAAGACTTTGAAAATGTCCTGACATGAGCATCATCTTTCTTTCTTGGCTATAGTCTGGTAACATATTTACTGCTGAGTCAAAAAGCCAAAGCATATCCAGAAATGAGGCTTTCTGTTGTGGTTTTCCTGGGGAAAAAACCTTTCCTCCAGAAAGTGACTTCATCGAGAGAGAATTGCATCTAACCAGGTAATAGATGCAAGTAATGAGATTTGCCTTCATAGTCATCTTTGCTCCAAGCTCGCACCCAAGTTGTGGAGTTCAGCGTAAGTTGTTCCCACGTGGGGTTGGAGCTGAGGTCCAGCTCCCAGGTAGTGCTGCTGTTGGACGTGAATGCGGGCAAGTTGTTTGTTTGAGAGAGAGACAGAGAATAAATTCTGTAGGAGGCTTTTCTTGCTAAAAACTATTGCAGGAGAGAGTTGAGCCTAGAGAGGGGCAAGGTCATTCATTAGTTGTTGGCTTTCACATTTTTCACCTTGGACGCTGCAGTGGAGAGCTGTTCAGCAGGCTTTATCCACGTCTTGAGATGGATACTGCCTCTCTGCTCACCTGTGCCAGCAGAATATTCCCCCTGCGTCTCCCAAAGCATGCAGACTGTGGTCACTCAGGAAGGGACATCGGAGCGGGACGTAGTCTAGCATTATTCATGAGCATCCTCGCATGGTGTTCTCCTCTTTTCTGCTGCTGTTTAGCCTGCTGCTTGATGCCAGGTGTGTAGGCTTTTCCCAACCTTCTTTTTCCTTCTGCTTTGCACTTAGTTGCTTTGAAGATACTCCAGAGGTCAAGATGGCTTCAAAATGACCCCAGCTACAATTACGTGTTATCAGTGTGTAAATAACAGGTCCAGTTTATCTGAACCCCATATTCAGAGTCATGGTTGTCCTGGTTTCAGCTGGGATAGAGTTAATTGTCTTCCTAGTAGCTGGTGTAGTGCTATGTTTTTTGAGCTAGGTATGAGAAGAATGTTGACAACACTGATGTTTTCAGTTGTTGCTAAGTAATGTTTAGTCTAAAGTCAAGGATTTTTCAGCTCCTGATGCCCTGCCAGCAAGAAGGCTGGAGGGGCACAAGAATTTGGGAGGGGACACAGCCAGGACAGCTGACCCAAACTGGCCAATGGGATATTCCATACCATGTGATGTCATGCCCCGTATATAAACTGGGGGGAGTAAAGGTGGGGGGATCGCCGCTCGGGGATTAACTGGGCATCGGTCAGCGGGTAGTGAGCAATTGCACTGTGCATCGTTTGTATAATTCCGATCCTTTTATTATTACTGTTGTCATTTTATTAGTGTTACCATTATCATTATTAGTTTCTTCTTTTCTGTTCTGTTAAACCATTCTTATCTCAACCCATGAGTTTTACTTCTTTTCCCGATTGTCTCCCCCATCCCCACTGTGTTGGGGGGGAAGTGAGTGAGCGGCTGCGCGATGCTTAGTTGCTGGCTGGGGTTAAACCATGACAATGGTCTTCCTCCATGATTAGATACTCGGATATAGTCGTGGCTATAACATGGGAAACTAGACCAACCCACTGCAAATAACATGTTCTGTGTTAAATAGCATATGTTAGAGCAGCACTGGAAAGGGTGATGATGCTAAATGAAGATGCTGGTGAATAATGCTGAGCCATAACCCTGCTTGGGACTCTCTTACTAGGCAGTCAGCAATTTTCTGTGCTAATACGTAAGCGTCCTCTTCTGAAGCTGGAATGAGATTTGTGGGAGAGGTGAATGTGAAAAAAGAGTTTCTCCTCCCATAAAATTCTGTGTATACCGAGACAGATGTGGGACAAATTGTAAAATTGCTGTAGTTATATCAGCAAAGATAGGGAAAGAGTAGGATGCTGCACTAGACTTTAAAATCAGCATATACAAGTTCTGGAGTCAGGGAAGAGGTGAGAGGCTGTAGGAGTTTCAACTGTGTCAAGACTGTGTTTTAATACTGCCAAGCAAGGAGGTGATGAGACTTCTTAGTGACTAGTGGAGCCTTCAAAGGGCAGAACAGGCTGCTAACGAAGAGCTTTAATTATCCTGTTGTTGTCTGTTGAAAAAGTGTTGTGGCAAGAAATGCAGTCCATAGAATTATTAGAAAACTTGAGGTTGCTTTTTTTATCTCAAAAGGTAGAGGAAGTTGCATGGGGAGTGGTTGCTTCAGTTGTGTGACTAATGGGGTGGTACTGGCTGAACCCAGCAATGGAAGGTGCCTTTCCTCCCCCAAATTCTCAGAGCGAGAGGGTTCCTTATTTTGAGAAAAGGAATAAAGACATCGTTGTAGTGGTAACTTGATGAGTGCAACAGACTTCATAGACCTTTAGGCAAGCACAAACTTTGCCTAAAACCTGAGGGAGAAGCTTATAAGCAGGTAATTGAACAGTCGTTTGCAGGTTAGAGTAAGGGCAAGGAAAAATCCCAAGTTAAATCACCAATAGATAAGAGAGGTAATAAAGTCTAGGCCTGAAGAAACTCATCCTGGAGTATTTAAGGAACTCTCTGGTGCAGATGCTGAAAAGTTAGCCCTGAATTATTTTCAGAGGGTTGTAGAGGAGAACAGAAGCCCAGAGAACCAAAGAAAAAGGGGAAACGCAAGTAGAGCCCTTAAAAGGGAAGGGAGGAGATGGAGGGTATCTAGCCTGACTCAACACATCTTCCTGGTTATCAACAACAGGAGAGCACATGTTCAATGGTGTTTGTAAGCACCTAGAGAGTAATATGGTAATAAAACAGCCATTACGAACTGCTTTATGTTCAGCTGATGAGGTAACCGTCCCCTTTGTAAGGGTAAGAACAGATCCATCTGTCTTGGCTGTGGTAAGGCTTGTGACGCAGTCCCACGTGATGTTCTGATAAGGGAACTGTAGGAGAGTAATTCAGGCTGAATCTCTTAGTACTTGCTGGTTACTTCCAGCAGTTTGCTGTATTGAGACGGCATTTCAGATGCACGCTCGAAGTCTGTCCTTAGCCTAGCTCTGTTCAGTATTTTCATTGCACTGGGGGCTGCCTACTTGGTTTGGGTTGCTGCAGCTCTAGCTACTTGGCATAGGCATAGGAAGAACCAAGTTTCCCATTCCTTTCCCTCTTAAGTGTGCTTGTGTCCGCTCCTTGGAGGCCAAAAGCCAAAGCTGAAATCACCTGGCAGGTCACTGCTTGGTCAGTGCCACAAAGTAGTTCACAAAACTTGCAGGTACTGCTATTTTCAAGGGCTTGCAGTCACCGATTTACAAAATGATAGCTGTTCTGACCCTTCATCACCCCAAAATGATGCTGAATATCCTGCAGTGGAGGTTAAGAGCTAGTAGTGGCATGAAGGATGAATTTCTGAGATCTTTTCCTGGCCCTGTGTTTCTGTTAGCTTTACTGTATAAAAAACGTCCCAGCTACTTAACTCCTCTGTTTTCCAGCCGTCAGCCTGAGCCACCAAAGAAGGAGAAGGAGGCAACCACAATTACCACCACTCAGTCGAAGAGAGCAGATGAATGGAAGGACCCCTGGCGCCGATCCAAGTCCCCCAAAAAGAAACTTGGTGTGTCTGTCTCTCCCAGCCGTGCGCGTAGGCGCCGAAAAACCTCTGCTTCTTCAGCGTCTGCTTCTGGCTCTTCAAGGTGAGTGAAGGCGAAGAGCGTGTCACATCTGAGCCTCGTTAGTGTGTCAGGGAATGTGACATGACTTTTTCTTGTCAGTGGAAGATGTTGAGATGTTTGGGAAAGCAGTTCAAGGCTTGCTGCTCAGTAACAGCTAAGGACACAGGCATATAGGTAGTGAGGTGGAAGCTAAAGGGCACACATAACTGTGGGTGCTGTGATGTGATTTGCTGAAAACTAAGCAAAGACAGGTCCTCGGAAAAGTCAGTATTCAGGGAAATTAGACTTGGAAGCAGTCCAGATATTAGTAGCTCACCTAGATGAAAACTGATCTTAATAGGAGCAGAAGGAGCTCGAAGCTATAAAAATTGGAGCCTCTTCACTCCAGGAGTGCTGGGGGGATGAGGCAAGCCCACTCCAGGAAGAGCATGCTGATGCTACTGGGGAAAAACTGCAGTTGTGGAGGTTTGACAGAGCCTTAGAGGGCTGCAGTGGAGGTTGAAAACCAATGGGTGCGAGATAAAGACTTTACAGAACGAAGCACGCTGAATCTAGGAGAGTTGAGGCATGAGCTGGATCTGTTTTCCTTAAATGTTTGAACTTGAAGCTCCTGAAAAGAGGGGGAGAAAGTATCAGAGAGGAATGAGGAACACACTGAATTGAAGATATGGATCTAAAAACCAAAGCCCTCCTGAAGTAGATAGCGTTTCTTGCTGGGATCACTGCACCTGAGATTTTTCTGTTTTCTCATACCTGTGTGACCCAACCTGTCAGGGGGTTGTCTGGTGAAAAGGCATAAAATTGTGTGGAAGGAGTTCACAAAAAGGGATGGAAAGTCACTAGCTAAAGGAGGGAGGCCTATTCAAGGGCGCAAAGTGGGTAGCAACAATGGGATCCTCTCTAAAAGAAAAGGGGGGACCAAGGAGAGGCTGTACTGCCAGACCACTGAGAAGGCAGGTAATTTTTGGAGCAGTGTTTGAGAACTTGGGAAGAGTGTACTGGAAACCTTGGTCTCAGAGGACTTCTCGGGAGGCACTGAATTTTAATGTTTTTCTTTCAGGTCCTCTTCTCGTTCATCCACCTATTCTGGTTCAGGTTCCTCGCGATCTCGTTCCAGATCATCTTCTTACAGCTCTTACTCTAGTCGCTCTTCAAGACACAGCTCTTTCTCAGGCAGCAGGTCCAGGTAATGGCTCCCTGGATTTGAAAATAACGGTGTACTGTTTTCCAAACATTTGCTAACGGCTACTTTTGCTGCTACTTAAAAGCAAATAGCCAACTCTTGAAATAAAACATTCAAACCACTTTCCTGAGTGAGGGAAGTACGATAGACTGCAAGGCAGCCTGCTGGTTTGGTTGCTGAATGAAGTAGGTATGTCAGCCACCCCCTCCTCTCCCCAGTACCCCCACCCATGAGTACTCTGCTGTTGTGGCTGGGCTGTTTCCCATGCCTGTGGTAGCTGAGCAGTTGTAGGAGCCTAGCTGAGATTAATGTTGCTGTCATTTGCATTTTATGATTGGAAGAAGTTACTGGCATCTCTTTTCTGTTGCACTGGAATTTCTATTTAAAGAGGCACATCACGTTTCTTTAATAAAACAATCCATGCAGTTGTGTCTTGTGATAGTCCTGACACTTCAAAGTAGCAATTCAGTGTCCCATGCTGATTAAACAGAGGCATGTTTATTACTCTGCCACTTCCTGGCCCCTGCAGACAGTTTCCCAAGTCTGGAATATGCATAGTAGGAAAACTGGCTCCCTAGATAGGCACTTCTTCAGAGCTGAAATCAAACAGATATCCAGTGTGGATCACGCAGTTGATGGGAGTGCATGGTGTCATTTCAGAGATGGTTTCTCCTAGAAAAGACTCAGGTGGGAGTTGATCTTGATGCAAGCACATGTGTTTCTGGGGAGCAGGCTGACCTTCCCCCATCCACCCCATTTCAGGCTCTGTTCCTGGCAGGACAAGGTCAGGCACAGGTGACGTACTTCAATTAGCGTGCCTCTCTCTGAAGATAGGAGGGTGAGGAGCACCCAAGTGCCTAACTGTTCTTCGGAAAGCCGGTCACCGAGGTGTCTGCCTTTCTGAAGTACTAGGCTGCAGCAAGGGTACTTCCAGTCTTGGCAGCAGGGTGAATCACCTGAACACCAGCATCTGGTGTGCTGTGTAAGTGGCTCGCCTCTTTGGTCAGTCCCGATCTTAGGAAACAGCTCTTGCCCTTTGATCTGTTGGCTTTGGTATTCTCCGCTTGATTTTTCTCCTTGTGTTCCAGAAATTACAGATATCCAGTTAGATGTGTTTTTTGTGTCTTTCTCCCAAGGGTTTTTTTTGCTGCTCTTTAAAGGATAAACCGCACTAGGAATTACTGGAATATAAAGCAGGTTGAAACAAATCATGCTGAACTTGCAAGTCAAAATCCCACTTACTTTCCTGTAGGCATATTCTCTGTAAGGAGAGAATACAGAGAGTATGGAGAAAGCCTCAGGTGTTGGTGTGGAATATGTGAGAGTGCCTCTCTTGCAGCTAACCCTATTTTTTCCTTTTGTTTTCTACTTTTACACTGGTCTGGTGATAGAACTTAGTTTTGTTGAACAGAGTCCAAATATAAAACTAGGGTAAGCTCAGACCCATGGGGACTAGTTCCTGGGATGCAGTCATTAGCCAAAGGAGGGAGTGATAGCTAAATGCACCAAAAGCCAGGAAAGCCTTCTGCAGTCCCAGAGACTGAGCTGAATGATATGTCCTTCCTTCCTAGATCACGGTCCTTCTCATCTTCACCCTCTCCTTCTCCAACACCGTCTCCACATAAGCCGCTTGCGAAAGCTAAAGGGGAGTTATTACCACCTGCTGGTAAAGGGTAAGTCTTCATCTCTGTTTTGATAACACAGTGCAGAAGAGGCTCCAAACAGTAGCGTAATCCCTGAGTCAGACCCTTGTGACCTGATTGACAGTTTAAGGAAGAAATGGAAGATGCGAAATATGACCCACATAGAATAATGTTTAGCTTTGCATATTTAATTAAATGATGACACTTTCACTTATTAAAACCAGCAGGTATCCTTAAGTATTTTATAGAGTCATAGAATCATTTAGGTTGGAAAAGATCCTTAAGATCAAGTCCGACCATTAATCTAACACTACCAAGTCCACCACTAAACCATGTCCCTAAGCGTCACATCGAGGCCTCTGTCATGTATACATGAGTGTTTAAAAACACTCATGATTTACACTTTAAACATTCTGTGTGTGCAGATATGTTTACACAGGAGCTCTAAGAAAGTTTCATTCATTCCTCTACTGTAGCTTGAGTTAATGCATAGCCTTAGAATAAAGAAATGTTCAGCCTTATCTACTTTTAACATTGGAGAGAAATTAAAACAGTATTATAGCTATGAAACTGGTTTTGGCAGATTATGCCAGCGCTCCTGCTCTTTTAAATACTTGAAGTTGCTATTTCATAAACTCCTGTAATACATAGTAAATTATGGATACATTAGAGGGGGACATACCACCATAGTGATGTCACCTTGTTTAAGGTGACCTGCAAATAAATTACACAATGGGAATCCCCCTGAATTCTCCAGAATATGGGACAATCCCCTTTGCCACACTTCTTGTGCCTTATTGACCTGCTTTTTTTTTCTTCTCAGATCAGAGGGTTCAACCCTTCAAGGACACGCTCTCCACCTACAGCGTTGTCTTTACACCCTTCTAGTGCATATTGCAGTGCTGGTTTGGTAACACATGACACCAGCCAGCAGCCTGTACTAGCATGGGGATTGTTTTTGCCGCGTAACATTCCATGTATTTAATCCTGTGTTCTGCAGGGGATGAATGCAGATATTCTTAAGCACAAGAGAAGGAATTAACAGTCTCTATTTTTGTATGCAGACAGCTGCCTCCTCCCCAGTTAATAGTAGGTGTGACATCAGTGCTGGGGATGTTGAGCAGTAACCAGCTATTAGAGCAGAGGTTGGACTGCTCTGAGCCCAGAAGTGAGCAGCCCTGAAGAGCCAAAGTGATTCCCATCTCGCATAGTGGGTGCTAGATAAAGTCACAAAAACGTTGCATAGCGGTCCTCCGCAATGGTGTTACCTGTTAAATGTTCTGCAGGGTAACGCGAGCCAAGGGACAGGTCCAAGCAACATTTGCACACATGGGCTGTTTTGCACCCTGCTGATCCGTGTGAGGGAAAAGAGCATTTTTGCATAAAATGTGTGCATTTGATTCTGAAGCCTGACTGGCAGATTTTAAGTAGATGTACGAATTTTGGATAAAAATGCACAGAATCAAATGGATAAGAAACAGCGATTCTACACAATCTACTTCATTAGTTAATTTGCAAGTTGAATGTCTCCAGAATTGGCTGTTGTATAGTAACTTGCCTCTGAAAAGGTGACTTGATTTAGAACATGGGAAACATCCCTTTAGGGGAATCGCTATTCTTTGAGAGTGTTTTGGTGAAATAGCCATGTGTCTGTAGCTACAGTAATCATATCTATATAATATTTAGTCAACAACAAACATGAATGCATTTCATCGCTTTTGAGAATGTCTGTATCTACTGAGTTTGACCAAGCACATGATAATTTTAATTTTTGTAGTGAAAAATCTGTGAAGAAACTAGCTGCCCTTCCAGTCCCTCAGCCACTCACTAAAATTACAACAGCTGCACCAGAGCCAGCCAAACCAGGGGATAATCGAGAGGCAAGAAGGAAGGAACGTCAGACAAGGACTCCACCCAGGAGGTAAGAAAGCTGTGGGGTGGAGTGAGGCTTGATCTCCTGGAAGATAGAGCAAATCCTGGGTTTCTCTTGGGAGTACCGACTGCAAGGGCTCTTTGGTATTAAAGGAGAAATCTGTTTCCTGGGGCAGGAAGGGAACGGGAAGAGGGGGAAGGAGTCAGGGGTGAATGCTAGTGACTTGCCACAGCAAGTGGCTCCTGTCTTTGAAGGCTGGTTGGAGGATGAAGTAGGTGGAAATGTGCCAAAAGGCAGGGTCTGCAGTACAAAAAAAGGCATGTTTGAGAGCTGCTGGTTGTGGAGGCTTCACAGCAAGGAAGCAAAGGTGTGTTTGGTTCCGAGAGCAGATCTGATGTGTTGGAGAGTCATTTGTGGTGATGGGTTTGGGCCCTCTTTACTGTAAACATGTGCCAGTATGCAGGGAGTATTTCTTCTGTGTGGTCCCAGGAGCTGGTTCGTCAGCATCCAGCAGTACCCCTGGAGGAGGGGAGGAAAAACTCCCCAGTACACAGCTTGCTGGCTCCCCTGCTCCACTTTCTCTTCCTGGCTTCATCCTGTGTGACTAGTCTGAATGTTTCAAGTGTTTTCTGTCTGTCCTCTAGTTGTTTCTGTTGTCTTTTTCTCTTCCTTTGCATTTAAAATGAGAGAGGCTTCTGATGGTTTTCAAACAAGGAGCATTTGTCTGTATTTAAATATGTTTATCAGGCTTAATCCATTGTACTGTATTTAAAAACGTTACAGGATAAATGCAGGAAGCATTGCCTGTTCTTGGAGGGACACGAAGTCAGCTAAGCACAGCTCAAATTCATCATGCATCCTTTTTACATTAGAAGTTTTGAAATAGTATGACACCTGTGTGCCTAGTCTATGGAAGTGATAGCTTGGTGTGTTAGAAATGTATTTAATATAAATGTCTATCTTATGAGCACTAAGAATGTTTTATCCCTGCAGTAAGTCATATAGTTTTCTTGGATCACTGGATGATGCTTTTATTAGTGTGTTTTGAAGATGGCTGTAATGTGTTTTGAAGATGGCTGTAAGTCTGTTTTCCGTTCAGGTTTTCAGAAGCATCCTGAGTCAGTTCTTAATTTTGCATGGGATTACATCGCATGTTTCTTCCCAGTAGTTGAAGAAAATGCCTGGGCTGAGCAGTTATGTCTCCACAAGTGAAAACTGATCACGACAGTTTCTTTTCCCTAGAAACTCCATCAGTTCTAGTTTCCATTTCACTTACTTTAACTAGTTAATAATAGTCTTGGATGTCTTTAGTCACCTTCCCTTATTCTTTATTCCAGCCTTGGGTTTTTTTTCATGCTTACACCCACAGAAACCCCACTGCCCTGCACTCTCCCTGCTGTGCAAATGACAAAACAGCTCTATTTATTTTAGTACTGGTGTGTTAGTCACAAAAAATGTGTATGATTATTGGTATAGCCTGAAATACAAGGTAGTCCCACTGTGTTACGCAGTTAGCAATTTTTGTTTATAGGAAGCATTTGCTCCTGGTATCAGTACAGGATTAAGGTACTCTAGCTCATTCTTTTGTTTGGCTCTCATTAACATTATGCAGTCTTGCATAAAACATCCACTGTCCAGAAAACAGAAGCTTCCTCAGGACTGGGAACACAAGGTTGAGAAGAACATCTGAAACAATTACGTTTGCAAAGCACCAGTCTCGTATACAATACAGGACAACAGCATCATGCTCAAACTGTCCCTAGAAAAGCGGAGTGCAGCAAAGTGAGGATGTCGTTTGCTGTCTTGCAGGCGGACTATCAGCGGCAGCATCAGTGGCAGTGCCAGCAGCTACAGTGGTTCCAGTTCCCGATCTAGGTCCTTGTCTCGGTCTCTCTCCAGATCTCATTCCAGATCATCATCTGCCTCAGTCTCCCACTCCCCGTCTGGGTCCAGGAAATCCAGGTACAGCCTCGACCCTTCATAACCTTTGTTGAAGTAGGAGGAGATTATAACCTTTCTTAACTGTTGTGGTTTCTTGCAGCTAAAACTCTCTAGCTTCAAGTGTCAGAAGCTGTAGGTAACTAGGACGTGAAACAAGATTGATTCTTTGTGTGGTGTTAAGAATCCCGAGTCCTGAATCCTGACAGTAGTACGGTGTTGGTGGTGCCCTTGTGGCTTATTCAAGGAAGTAATCTGTCATGTGTACTGAACTGCCCATTTTTACCTAAATTATGACCAAAACATCTCCTTATGGCCAGGCTGATCACACATCCAAATTTATTTACAAGTTAACAGTTTCAGGCTACAGAGCTTTGCTCTTCTAAACCTCTACTACCTCTGGTTACCGAATGTCCTGAGGGAAGATGCTTGGCCTGTCAGAAGAGGTAGGTCAGAAAATACCTACAAGGCCCAGCTAATGATATTTTTACTTTGCTGGCAAAGTTGCATGGCCAGTTCCCTTTGTGTTTAGCTCCAAGTTAATAGTTATATGGCTGTTAGTCTGTGGGATTTGTAAACAGCTGACTCCCTCCAGTAGAGTCATGAAATAAACCTCTTTCCAAGTCCTTCGTTTGGGTTTTTTGCATCTGTTCACACATAGGAATCCCTGAAACCTCACAGGCAGCCTTGAAACACGACGCTTCCATGTGATGCAGGTTTAAAAGCAGACAAATAGTGTAAAACTAGTGGATTAAGTAGGACTTAGCTCTGACCAGCAGTAATTCCCATATCTGAACTCTGTGAAACTCTGTTCAACATCCGTGTTATTTTACGGAAATACAAACTTGTTTACTACATGCTTGTTGCCTTCATCAGATCAGGCAGGGGTGATGCAAGAGGCTCAGAGCACTTGGACACGCTGGCTCTGCGCTGCCCTGCTGTACAGGGCTTGAGAGGAGAAGATGGGAAAAACTTAATGCAGGTGTTGCTTTTGTGGCACTGGGGCTGTGCTTGCTGCTTTTACAGGTGTGTGGGAAAGGGGAAACATAGGAGATATGGTGTGTGCGCAAACCAGATTTGCTGTCACAACCTCGTAGCCAGGAGTTTTCCTGGAGAAGTTGTTCCTGGCTCATCCAGTTGCCATTGCAACAGTCCATGCAACCTCTCAAAAGTCATCTCTGTCAGGATGCCAGCGGGTAGAGACTTTGCTGCTTGTTCCAGGGCTAGTCTGTGCTGAAGCTGCTGCATCCCGTGCAGTCGTACGCATGCCAGCTTCCAGCAAGTGAGCTTGGACCTTGCTGGCAGGTCAGTCATTGGAGCGCAGAAGTCAGCGTGGCCTGCAGAACCTGCTGGAGAGGCTGCCTAAATATTCATGTAGTTAGCGTACACCTGGTCCCACGTGGCGGTGGCTGTGATGCCAGCCGGCTGCCAGCTAGCTGGGATTTTTGCAGCTGCTTCGCTGCACCAGGGAAGTCTGGTGCATAGCCCTGTATTTTTGTCTGATACATTTTTAAGTAGAAAGTCTTCCTTAAATGAATATGATTGTCTGACATTTTTAGTGTTGTGAATCCATTAGGAGATAGCCATCTTAAGGCACTATTAGAAGATAGCCATCTTATAGGCATCTTCCCTGTCATTATCAGTCGTGACATTATGTGCATCCTCGAAACAGGCAGCTGGGCTCTCCTGTACCCTGGCGAGCTGGGCAGGAGCTGTGGGCTGTAGGACTCCAGGGTTTTTAAAGCCTCAGTGAATCAATGTGTGCCATGCAACAAAAACATTGCCAGGGAACCCTTGACCTGAGCCTTAACACTGACCTCTACGTGATAGTGCACACCCTGCTTTCACTTTTTGTTTACCTGGGGAAACAGTGACCTTAATCTTGTTTATAAATGAACAGTACTTTCTAGACTTGCATCTAACATGTTTGGGATTTTTCATACTATGTGTGCACCCCAGGAGGCACAGCCTTTGTCTCTTCCTCGTTATTTGCCTGCCTTAGCAGCCTTCTGACATCCCGGCCATGCAGGGGAATTGAAACAAAGGTGTCTGTCTCATCGCTGCCTGGTTCTTGTTGCATTTGTGACTGTAACGGGCTGTTGGCTCTTTCCAGGTCCCTGAGCGTGAGCAGCGTTTCTTCTGTCTCTAGTGCCTCCTCTAGCAGCAGCTCTGTACGCAGCGCCGACTCCGAAGACATGTACGCAGACTTGGCCAGTCCTGTTTCCTCAGCCAGCTCCCGATCCCCAACCCCAGCGCAGCAGAAGAAAGGTAGAGGTACCTGGTTTGTTTTTTTTCTTCTCCAAGGGGTCTTGGGAAAAGAAGCGGGGAGCAGAGATCTGCATACAGCTTGCTTGGTGGTACTATGGGCTCCAGGAAAATCATTGAGCAGAGGCTGACACTTGTGCCTGGCGTGACCTAGGGGAGCCCAGAGGCTTCACCTGAGGAGGGTGAGACCATGGAGAAGGGAGGCTGTGGAGTAAATATACATTCGCATCCTTCTGTCCATGTGTCTCTGGCTGTAAAGATGCCTTTTCCTGCATGGGAGTTCTGCCTGATGCCCCCTCTCTTACCTTGTTCTCTTTCACCCTTGCGAGGTGATGCTAAATCTTCTGGACAACTCCAGTATCGTATTGCTCTTCCTCTGTTCTTTTTAGACCGTAGCAGAGTTGGCAGCAAGAGCCTTTTGTTCTTTGTCTTTTATGTTAAGTGTCCTCTCTGCGGAAATTCTGGTTTCCTGAATCTTTTAACCTTGGGGCCATGTGCTGTGCTAACTGGTGTGGGCTTTTTCAGTCCCTGGAGCAGCATCCTCTTGCCCTGCCCTCCAAAGGGAGGGCAGTTGAAAGGAATCAGTTGCAAGTCACTACATTGCACTCTGGTTTCAACAGGAAAGTCAAAAAAAGAAGATAGCGCTAAAGAGGAGAAGCGGAAACGGGATGTGCCTGCTCAGCTCCTGAAATCAGCCAAGCCCACCCAGGGGAGCAAATCACAGCAGCTCCTCCAGACCCAGCAGCCCTCAGCCCCCCAGTCTCAGCAAGGGGGCTTCAGTGCTCACAAAGAGATCAAACTGACGCTTTTGAATAAGGTGAGAGGTCGGGCGGGTGCAGTTCCCTCCACGCTGGGGGTCCGAGGAGCAGATGGGATGGATACTGAGGCTCAGGGCTGGTGGAAGGGGAGCCCCAGGCTCCGTGCCGTCGGGATGAGCTCAGCCGGGTAGGTCCGCAGCTGGGGATTGAAGGGCGGCAGACAGAACCAGTCTGGCAGCACACACCCTGTGGTGGCTTGAGTTTGGGACTGTGTTGGCGGCTCCCCTGGGGCACATTCCTGCTGCAGCTTCAAGGGCTCTTCCCCGCTTTCTCGAAGGCTGCAGCCAGAGCACCGAGGCGAAGGCGTGCGCGGCGCAGTCCCGCATGCGCTGGAGCTTTGCCCACTGAAAGCATGCTCCCCGCACGCTTCCGAGCAAGCTCTCCTCCCACTGCCCGCTCTGGAGCGAACCGCTGACGAGTCACTAACTGAGTCAGGAGGTAAAAGTGGCGATTGCCTCGTCTCTCTGGGGTGCCTGCCACCAGCCGCGCTTTCCGCGGGGAGCCTGGCTCTTTCCTCTTTACGACTGAGCCCGACGCCCTGCTTCGGTGCCTTCGGCTGAGATTGCAATCCAGATCATGTGGGAGAGTTCAGCCTTGCCGGGTTTTGTGCCGGAGCAGGGTGTTGGCCCCAGTCACGTGGGTAGGTTCCTGTTTTTGAAGCGTTAATGTTTTTTTTCTGACAGTCCAAATTCCCCGTTGCAGTCTGAGGCCGCAGTTTTCTCTACTTCCCTGTGCTATGACGTGAGGCGCCTTTATCGAGTCTGTGAAGCATGCTCCGTGGGGAGGAGTGTGCAATTACACATAACTACCAGCTGGCATGGTCAGATCCTGGAAGAAGGCATGGCTCCACATGCCTCCTTGACATCTGCTATCCTTGGTGCTGCTGAAGAAAAACTCCACAAAATGCTGCTATGTTTTTCCGTTTCTGACAATTATGAAAGTAGCGCAACATTAGCCCCAGTGCCAGAGGAGGTTGCTGTTTGCTTACAGTGGTAGGGGAATTACATGGTGCCAGTGATGATTGGGACTGGTATGCAGAAAGAGTTTAATAGGAGATGTGCTTGCGTGAGCCAGCCAGCACATCATGGGCACCCGTCACAGGAAATATCTCTGCCTGCTTCCCTCCCCAGAGGGAAGTGGCTGCTCAGCTTTGTTGTCTGTTTTAATTCCATTTCAGGCAGCTGACAAAGGAAGCAGGAAGAGATACGAGCCAGCAGACAAAGACAGGCCGACCTCTCCTCCAGCCAAACGGGCGAACCTGTCACCTGACAGAGGTGAGATATCAGCCATCCCAGGGACTCCTGGCCTGGCTGGGTTCCTTCTCTGTCACTCGAGGCGGTGCTCCGGTGACAAATGTCCCGTGAAAGTCTCTGCTGCAAGAGTCCACTCGCTAGAGAGGTTAATTGCAGGCATGTGTCCTTCCAAAACCTCAGAGTGTGCGATTGCCACCAGATAACGCAGGCGTTTTAGCCGTCCGGCTGCAAATACACGGTGGAGGTGAGACGCTCTGGTTTGTGAAGTAAGCGAGGTGAGGTCAGCCCTGGGCAGGCCAAACCCAGCCTTGCCTAGCTGTTTTGTGGCACACATTGCGAGTACCTTGGCTCCACTATGTCTGTGTAACTCCACTAAAAAAAAAAAAACCAACCAACCCTCGCTTTGAAGACACAGCGTGCTCATCTCTGCTGCAGGTACATATTCATCCCACAGCAGCCTCCTGTTCTCTAGTAACGTCATTGGATGTGGCTGTGGAAGTCATAGGGTTTTCCCTTACTGTATCGTGGGGTCTTCTCTGCCTTGTATTTCAGTGCATCGCAATGGATCTTAGTCCTCCCGACAGAAAGGCTTGTGGCGGTGCTTAGAAAGGGATCATGGGCTGCCAAGGCTCCAGGATGGATGCAATAATTGGCTAGATCACCCGTCCTGCGAAATGAGATGATTTCCCCACTTGTGTGTGACACAATCTGATCTGCCCCATATGTTTAGAAAGACGCGGGCTTTCCAAGTGTTCTCCTGTGTCTGAATCCTCAGCAGCAGTACGAGCGCCTCAGAAAACCGAGCTAGCACGCTACATCAAGTGGGACCTAAATGCCATGCTCCAGCCTCTTCTGTTGCTGCCGAAAAACAAAGGGGGGGAGTCATCAGTCAGAGGTGCCTGGTTTTGACGTACAAGCCAGCGTTGACACGTGATGTTGTTTTCCCTGTTGTCTCGGCTGTAGGTGTATCTTGTTGACTCTGGGTGCCAGCCAGAAAAAATTTCTGTGCTAATAGCCTGGTTGCATTCGACTCCTGCAAAGGCAGCGTGGAAGGGACTGGGTGAGGTTGAAGTTCACTGGGATCTAGTTCACAACTACTGCTGAGCTGCAGACAAATGAATGGGCCGACCTAGCAAACTGTGCTGATTTTATAGATACATAGATGTAGATGTAATTATATACTTTATTTGTTGTCTGTACGTTATAAAGCACTTTTAAGCAGTAGCAAATGGGACACAAGCCCTGAAGGCAACTCAGCCTCACCTCCCAGTGGCAAGCATACCCTTGACTGAATTGGGACTGAGCAAGAGGCACCCTCCGGCATGCAGCCTGCATTCCAGTGTCCCAGCACAAAGCTGGTCGGTGTTTGTGCCCTGAGTCTCGCTTCCCTGTACTGTAACCTTGCTGTGATCAGATCCGCAGCTATAGTTGCCCCTCTGTGCACTGGGATAGCAGCGGCTGGGAAACCCACTGCAGCAAAGCTGGATAATGCTGCTGCAGGACCCCAGCGGGCTTCCCATCACCTGCAAGTCCCCACAGCTGCTCCGTTCGGGCAGGGCACGAAAACATGGGGGTGATGCTGCCTGTGGATTGGCCCCAGCTGGCTCCAAAAGCAGCAGAGCTGCACTTGCCCAGCACGCTTTAAGCCAATACACCCTATTACCTGGGCAGCGCAGAGCCAGCTCAGATGCTGCTGTGCCCATTGCTCACAAACTGGATGATTTGCCGAGGGATAATGGAGCACTGACTCAGTCCATGAGGGCCAGCCTTGCCCCGCAGGTTTGCAAGCAAAGCACAGCCTAAAAGCGCAGTGGAGGAGCCTTGTTCCAGCAGCCGGAGGGTGAGGAGAGGGCCGGTGCGGCTCCCCGCAGGTGATGTTTTGTACAGCTGACCATGAGGCACAGCCTTGACTAGCTTTTCTGCTCCCCGTGAAGACAGGGTGCACAACAGTAGGTTCCTTTTCTAGCTGCTGCTGGACTTGGCCTTTTGTTGGCATGATCTGGTCGGTCTCAAGAGAGCATCCATATGCTGCTGAGACGGTACAGTAGGTAGGGTAGCGACCCGTACCTTCACAATGAGCGAGAACGTCTCACCTTTTTGTCTCCCGTTAGGCTCTCGTGACAGGAAGGCAACCGGGAGACTCTCTTCACCCAAGCAAGAGCGACAGAGAGGCCAGAACCCGAAACCTTCTCCTGCACAGACAGACAGGTCAGTGCCCGCTTGTTCTCCTGGGTCTCTTGTGGGCCAGGCTGGGGCTCACACTTCTCCAGCGGTTCACTCCCTCCTCTCGGGGCAGCTCTGATGCTCTCTGGCTGTAGTTTCCAGTTGCCATGGAGGCACAGCAAGAGGAAGGACGCGGAGCTCCCTGGGCAGGAGCCAGAGGTGCTCAGGGGCTCACACGCCACCAGCTAAGCTGTTCCAGCTCAGAAATGAGCAGGAGCCTGGGGGTTTTCTTGAGGTCAGTCCCAGCAAGAGGAGCCAACTGGGTTAGGTGCAAGCTCATTCATGCTAGTGCCTCTGCCTGTCGCTAGCGCTGTGTAGTGCTAATGAGAAAGAAAGTACAACCCCTTCACCCTCCTGCCGAGCTCCTCATGGCAACTGGCTCAGGTGCCCGATGCCCTTTCTTTCATACTCTGGTATACCTTCAGCAGCTCACTTTGCTGCTGTGAGATGGTAAAATGTGGCCCCTGAATGGTGACTAGCCCTGGCTTTGCACCTTTCCATCCCCTCTGGTGACAGGTGACCAGCTCACATCCGATTTCTTGGCAGTCTGCACTCTCTCCTGTGCTGGAAATACCCCATTGCGGAACTGGACGTGTGGCTCCAGGGGCCTTGGGCTATGCTCCGCTCAGAGCCCTTTGGTGAAGGGTTGTGGAGCACCTTCTGCAGCACACCTAAAGCTCCCTCAGTCCTCCTGGCCTGCAGCCAGCCAGCATCGCTTTGCATTTCTCTAGTGTCATCTCTCCAAAGATCTCTGTGAGCAAACGGACGCAGCCCTGTCCTGCACCCCTGCCTTCCTTGGCCAGCAGGACTCGTATCATCCCCTCTCCCCAGCCTGGGGCATGAGCGAGCCTCAATTTCTGCATGTCAGTCTTCCCAAACCAAAACCTAGCCCCGGCTGCCACAGCCCTGTCCTTCTTCAGGCCCTGAGGTCCTGTTTTCCAGCAGTGAAGAGGAACTTCAGCCTTCTCAGACTGGTCATGTTGACTGCATCCTTGGTTCTTGACCCTCTTCTGCCTACTGCTGTTTGGGTTGGCAGTGTTGCGTGGTGGGTTCAATGTGCCCTGTGCCCAGGCACGGGGGTGGTTAAGGACACACTGGGTTTCTCTAGGGCAGCTGAAGGGTAGTTCTGTGTCCTGTTTTGAACTCCTTGGGGTTATTTGGGTCATGCTTGCACAGCCCCGCTTCTCTTCAACGTAGTATGAAAGGGTGCAAGTGGCATTAACAGAGGAGACGGTGACTCCCACTGCTGACATCCGCCAGCAGGCTGGCAGCAGCAGTGGCAACAGGCTTTCCCAAATGGTCCAAGTCATCAGAAAGAGCCAGCCGAGGTTTAGACTGCACCTTCGGTGCATTACCGAGCTAGCAGCACTGCAGAACTCCGGCAGGCTCACGATGCCACTCTACTTCCCCGTCCTGTCATCCTTCTCCTGCCGTAAGGGGAAGTGGTGGCCTGCGGCAGCAAGAGCCACAGACTGCTTGCCTCCAGCCCCGGTCACAGCCTGATCCAGGAAAACCCGCTGCTGCTAGCGATGGGGACCGGTGGCCCGCGGTCCTCCCCATGCGGAGCCAGCCAGGCTCCCTGTATGCAGGAGAGGGAGAGTTCCCCCAGCTTTGCTTTGCTCTCGCAGAAACTGCTTCGGACTGCAGCAAAGCGGCATCGGAGCAGAACTGGAGTGCGACACTGAGTGTCTGTGAGCTGCATCGCAGGGCAGGGGTTGTCAGGATCTGAAACTGTGGGAGTTCTCCAGGGCTGCCCTGTGACTCTCCCCCCTCTTTGCTCCCTTGCACATGTCCATCCCCCAGCAAGCTGCTCACAAGAGCCGGGACAGCCCTTGGGGGTTGCAACCATGGTGGCCGTGGTGCCGGGTTTAAATTTCAGGATCCCCCCCCAGAGCAGCTGATCTTCTACTGTTTCAGCTAGTTTTCCAGCCCCAGGCCTTGCGTCTTGAACCCATTTTCTTCCACCAGCGCTTAGAGCGATGCTTTCTGCCGAATCAGACACTGACGGGGTTTGTTTCCAGCGCGGCGTGCTGCTGCCGAGCAGCCTCTCACCACCCTCTGCTTTCTCTCCCTGCCAGGAAACGCCAGCTCTCGCCTCAGTCCAAGAGCTCCAGCAAAGTCACGAGCGTACCGGGCAAAGCATCCGAGCCAGGCCCCACGGGTGCCAAGGCGGGCAAGTCCAGCACCCTGTCGCGACGGGAGGAGCTCCTGAAGCAGCTTAAGGCGGTGGAAGATGCCATCGCTCGCAAGCGGGCCAAAATCCCGGGGAAAGTATAGTGGGCCGTGCGCGGAGCGCCGCTCTGACCTTTAGTGACTGTTCATGTTTTTATAAATAGTGTAAAAGCAGCCACTTTGGGATTTTGCAGTTCTGTCTTATTTTGGCTGCGATTCTTTTTAAAAAAAAAACCACACAAAAAAAAAAAATAACTGAAGTTTTGTCAGCTGAGATGCCCATGACGACTCGCTCCGGCTCCCGAAGGGCGAGCGGGGCCAGCCCCTGGCTCTGCTGGCGCCGGTTCCATGTAAATTATGCACAGAGGACTCCAGCCCTGTCGGATGCTCTCACTATTCCTCTCTTTCTCTCTGCCCTCTCCTCTTTGCTAGCCTTGAGTTGTATTCTCCTAGTTAGCCCTGCTGTGTGTTGAGTGTCTTCAGCAATGCAGTTCTATATACTGTGTAACGAGAGAGCCGAAAACTGCTGTGAACTGCTGGCAAAATGACCTTCTCCCCCTGCCCTCCTACCCCAGGAACAAAAATATATATATATTCTTGACTAAAGTCTGATTGGGAAAATGACCTGTCTTTTATTTTAAGCATCGGATTGTTTTAGTTGATTTAAAAGGAGCCCTGAAGGTGGTGTGGGGAAGTCTGTTTAACAAGGAGGGTCCTTTTTCCTTTTTTTTTTTTTTTTCCTTTTTTTCTTTTTTTTTTTTTTTTTTTTTGAGGGATCTCCCTGAAATAAAGTATTTTGATAACCAGTTCTTCCTTTCTCTACTCTTCTCTCCATCCCTTGTCCTCCCTCTCCCTTGCCTTGGGGGGGCCTGTCTTCCTCCTCCCCCCCCCCCCATCTTTGGGGGGTGTAGTTTATTTTTCCTGTTCTCCTGATGATCCTGTGGCTGTACTGACTGCTGCCAGCACAAGCAGCCTCATGGAGCTGGAAGAGCTGCTGCATCTCTTGGGGGGAGCACCGTGTCCCCTCGCTGTGGGTGCCTGGTGCCCCTGAGCCCCCCTGCCAACACCCAGGGCTGTGGGACTGCTCCTTGCACCCAGTTACTAAACCAGTATCCCACTGATGGTAGCAGAGGGCTCTGCAGCCTGTGCCGTAGCTGGCTTCACCCGGCATAATCTGGGGGGGCCTCTGGGCTCATCCAGGCCTTTGGGAGATCATGTATGGGGTCCCTGCACCCCAACCTGCATGCGGGAGGCTCTGCTTGGGGTATGTGGCACCCCATAAAGTCACTGCTAAAACAGGGTGCAAATCCCATCTCTCTGGTAAAAGACCAAAGCTGTGGCTGTGCCTGGTCCTGCAGCTGTGCAAAGCTGTTTTCCCACATGCTTCCCCCCACCACCACCAGTACTGTGTTTCCCGCTATACTGGGACCACTGGACTGCTATGGGGACAGTTGGCACCCTGACCCCGAATCCTTTCCCTGCACACCAAAGGCGTTGAGCCCACGGTGCAGCGCGGCACATGTGGTGCTGTGGTCCAGGCGAACCCAAGCCGGGTTCTGTAGTGGGATGGGGTGCGAGGGGGGGCTCCTTGAAGGCCCCTCATCTCTGAACCAGCTCCTCTGGTCCCACCGCATCCTCCCCTTTCAGCTCAGCACCATCATCTTGGCTTTGTGCCTCCACCGTCACCGGGACATCCCTCGCTGCTGGACCGGAGAGCAGCAGAAGAGGATGGACGCAGCCTTTTCCAGAGTTGCCCAATTTGGGATTTCTGTTCTGGCAGACCCAGGAATGTGATGGTGATATCACCACCGGGCTTACGCAATGGGGCCAGGGCTGGGGCTATGGGATCCTGTCCCCACGGGTCGCGGGAGGGCTGGGGTGCCGGCGGACGGGTACCCAGGGCATCCCGTGCCACCCCAGCCCTCCCGCAACCCCAAACCACCCATCCCCACGATGCTCTATCCCCATCACCGCAACAGCCAAACTGGTGGACACCCTTTTCCCTACCGGTCTGTGCACGTCCCTCCCCAATTTTGGGGGTGTCGGGAGCCAATTTCCGGGCTGAAACGACGCTTGAGTCGAGAAGGAAGTACGACGGCCCGCGGGGAGGAGGAAGGCAGCCAGAGCTGGAGTTTCCAGGTGTGTGTACATCACCTGCCCGAGCCCTATATAAAGGCGGTGGCGGCGGTTGCGCTGCCACTCGGCCGCCCGCATCCCCGGGGTAGCAGTTCGGAAGGACCCCCCCCAACATCACCCACCACCCCTCGTCGTGCTCCCATACCCCCCTAATGGTAATACTTCGCCTTGAGGGGGGGGGAGTGGGTGCTGCGGGGGTACGGGCGTGCGAGGGGGGTGGGAATGCTGGCGGCTGGGGGGGGGGGGGGGGGGGATGGGGGTGG